CTTATTTATTTTTAGTCTGGCTGAAAAATATAGAAAAGTTTCATTATTATTATTATTGCTACTACTATTACTGCTATTGCTGATGCTGATGCTATATTTGCAGTAGCCAATTAATTCTCAATCCAACTGAGCAAACCTGAATAATCATGTGTACAAGTATCTATGCGCCATATATTTTCAACCAAGCCAGCATCCCATATCATGGGCCCACAAGCCTGGAAATTCAGATGGTCCCTATATCCTGGCAGATATCCTACATGCAAGTTTGGATGCCTCCTGTCATGCTTGATCTTAGTCAAATGCCACCTCACTGAAAAATCCATTATTCACACATCTGTTGTCAGGAACCTGTTACACAACAAATTTATTTCAGGTGGCGCATCTACACATGCACTAATGTGCTTTTCCTAATGTGCATTAAATTTATTACCTCCAATATGAGGTACTAAATAAATGTGCATTAGACTGTGCTAAATGCACAATAGCACAAGCTCATGCTTTTTAGGTGATGCTTAATGCGCAGTAGCCTATTCTACTATGCATTAGCATATTAGCACTTTTTTACATGCTGCTTTAATGCACCATAGAATAGGCTACTGTGCATTAAAGTGCACATATAGACTCACCCAGTGAGAATTAGTTGACTAAGTCTTTAAGGATTTGGTCCTTAATTACTATGTTTGCTCCAGATAACTTATATCCTAAAAGAAAAGACAAAACAAATATCAAATCCAGGATAGGGATTTAGGGAGCCAGAGTAATAAAAAAAAAAAACCAGATAGGAGAAGTGATGGCCTGTCTTGTTTAAACATTGCTGCAACTGAATTTCACCCTGTGCAAATAGGTAAGGTGTTGACTTGTACAATATGGTGCTGACTTAGTTAAGGAGCACTTGGAAGGGCTGGATGGGTACAAGTCAGCTGGCCTGGACGACCTCCATCCATGGGTGCTGAAGGAATTGGTCAGTGTCATAGCTGAGCCACTGGCACGGCTGTTTGAGCACTCATGGTGCTCCAGCCAGATCCCTGAGGACTGGAAAAAGGCCAATGCGGTGCCCATTTTTAAGAAGAGGAGAAGGGATGAGCTGGGTAACTTTAGGCCAGTCTGTCTTACCTCTACCCCTGGGAAAATACTGGAAAAAATCATCAAAGAGCACATTTGTAAAGGCCCAGCAGGGGAAATGATGCTGAAAGGAAACCAGCACAGGTTTATCACAGGTAGATCGTGCCTGACAAACCTTATAGCCTTTTATGACCAGGTCACACACTGCCTTGACACAGGAGCTGAGGCTGATGTCATCTACCTGGATTTTAGGAAGGGCTTCAACACAGTTTCACATCCTATTCTCACAGGGAAGCTAGGAGGCTGTGGAGTGGATGCCTACACAGTCAGGTGGGTGGCCAACTGGCTTAGGGACCGAACCCAGAGAGTGGAGGTGGACGGGTCGTTCTCGGCCTGGAAGGAGGTGGGCAGTGGGGCCCTGAAGGGTTCAGTCCTTGGACCAGTGTTATTTAATATCTTCATCAGTGATTTGGATGAGGGTGTGGAGGGCACCCTCACCAAGTTCACAGATGATACCAAGTTATGGGGCAAAGTTAACACACGGAGGGCAGGGAGCAGATACAGGCTGACATGGACAGGTTGGATCAATGGGCGGAAAGAACTAGGATGCAATTCAACAAAGATAAATGCAAGGTACTCCACCTAGGAAGGAGGAATCCCCAGCACACCTATAGGTTGGGGGATGACCTCCTCAGCAGCTCGGAGGCTGAGAGAGATCTTGGAGTCATAGTGGACTCCAAGATGAACATGGGCCGGCAGTGTAACGAGGCCATCAACAAGGCCAATCGCACCTTGTTGTGTATTAGCAGATGCATGACCAACAGATCAAAGGAGGTGATGCTCCCCGCCTATGCAGCATTGGTCAGGCCACAGTTGGAGTACTATGTCCAGTTTTGGGCACCGCACTTCAAGAGGGACACGGAGAATCTGGAGAGGATTCAGAGGATGGCCACTCGCATGATTAGTGGCCTACATGAAAAACCCTATGAGGGGAGGTTGAGAGATCTGGATCTCTTCAGCCTTCACAAGAGACGTCTGGGGGGAGAGCTTGTAGCCACCTATAAGTTCATCAAGGGAGGACAAGAGGGAATTGGTGATGCACTATTTACCAGAGCGCCCCAGGGAGTAACTAGGAATAATGGGTGCAAACTAGTGGAGAGTAAATTTAGGTTAGACATTAGGAAGACATTTTTTACAGTAAGGGTGGCCAGGATCTGGAATGGGCTTCCAAGAAAGGTGGTGCTATCACCTAACTTGGAGGTCTTCAAGAGGAGGCTTGATAGTCACCTGGCTGGGGTCATCTGACCTCGGTCCTCTTTCCTGTCAGGGGCAGGGGGTCGGACACGATGATCCATTGTGGTCCCTCCCAACTCTACAATCTATGAATCTATATTTTCTTGAATATAACACACACCTTCTCCAAAATACAACTGCTGGAAATTTGGTTGTGTATTTAAGTGGAAAAATATGGTAAAAACAGTTTCTGCTGCTTGAAAATTCTGCTAGGTGAAAGTGAAAGTAACTGCACACAATCCACAGAGAGAACAATGAGCAGGCTTGGCTCCTGAGCTGATGCTACTCACTTATACGGAAAGATTTTTTTTTCATTCTGTCTTTCAAAAACAAGGTGAATATCTTATTCCAGGGCTTGTTGTAGGTGAGAAAATATGCTGTTACTGCTGTTCCTGTAGATTATTACTATTAACTGCATACAGAATATTGCTCTTAAAAGACAGTATCCCTGTTCCTTTGCAAATAATTCGTAGTAAACACCTTCTGTGAATGTAGACGTTTTCCCTTTTCACAAGCCCTCCTCAGTCTGTTTTTTTCACATTAATGAACTATTTCCTGCACAACCAATATTTGTACTGTTGATTGGTTTCCTTAGTCCCAATTTACTGGTTTGGCTACCTATTTTTTTTTAATTCTACAGCTTCAGCCTGATGCAAATACTGTTTAATCACAAAACAGTCATTTTTGTAATCAAATAAATGAATTAAAAGAAGCCCAGCATTCATACTTACTCTAAAGGCTTTTATATGAACAAGATGCTGCCTATTATGGAAATTATAATGGAAGAAGAGTAAACAACACTGAAATAGGTTATTAAAAATGCCAAAATATTCCTGAATGCATTTTCTCCCTTCTCACTCCTTTCTCCAGGTAGGATTTCACGTGAATCCCATCTAACAGAATAATTATGGAGGGCCGTTCTGTTTTGCAACAAGGCAGCACCAAGTGTTCCTATCAGACTAGTCCCTTTTCTTCTGCTGCACAAATGGGTCAGTTTTGTGACAGATCATCAGCCAGAAAGCTACACTTAGTAAAACAAGACAAGATGATCAAGGCAAAGAGACATCTATATACTTCAGCATGCTTAAGAATCATAGTCACTTCCAGAAGAGAAAGAAGAAAGAGTCAAAACTCTGGGGAAAAGTGGATTGCCTAATTTGTCTTATGCTTTATTTAGATGGGGTTCCCTTATTAATTGACAGTCATGTTTAAAAATTAATGAGCACTTATTATTGCAACTATAGAAACATATGGCATATAGAAAGAAACAACGCAGGCTCAGGGAGGCTCACTCGGTGTGTGGCACTGTCAGTAATATCTGCAAGTAGAATCTGCCTCCCCCTGGAAAGCAGATGTGTTTTCCTAAATTAGAAAGCTCGTTTTTCATCAACATTTTTCATTCCATGAACAGTTTTGGAGTTTTGGAAGTGGAGCAGAACAGATCTTTTTTGCCAGGTTCTCTTATTTTTTGCTATTATGCAAACAAGACAGAAGACAGATGAGTTACAAATGAGGGGATATAAAAGTACAAAGTGCAGGGGACAGCTGGAGATTTGGCTGCACATGGCAAGAGCTCTGTCAGGGTGAGACTGTGGGTACGTATAAGCATTACATTTCTAGGGGGAGAAATGCTGCTCTCCTGCTAGAAACTGGGAGGGTGCACTCATTCATGCACTTTCTCCTGCAGGAAAATGTTGGATCCAGGAGAAAGATCTTCCTCTTTTAACAATGAAGATGACACCTGCATGACAGTTTCTCACCCAGGAGTGAACACCAGTATACTTCCCCAGTTGTTGGCTCTTCCTGGGGACTAGAAGAGTCAAGCCCAGTCTGGAAATTTGCAGCACTAGAGACAAATATTCTGAGTAACTAGCACTTCTCCAGCTTGTCTGTGCAACATTACATGCTCATAGGGGACAGCTGGTTTGACTCACTGTTGGTCTGATTTAGCCCACTATTGCTATCTGGCAATGACTGCTGCATAGCCATAATGGACTCCTCCTAATAGAGATATATTCAGTCAGTGTAAAGGTACATTTTCAGGCTAGTAAATTGCTTACAGGACCCATACATTTTCTATACACTGGCCCTGGACCAATGATCAGAAAGAAAATATGTCAAATTCTGTCTTCTGCCTAAGCATTAAGAATTTGATACAAAGCCTACTCAGTGGCACATTCATGTGTGCTTCTTATATAGTAGTCGATTTTACTGTGCATTAAAGCGTCACGTAAAAAACTGTGCTAATATGCTAATACACAGTAACATAGGCTACTGTGCATTAAGTATCACTAAAAAAGCATATGCTTTCGCTATTGTGCAATAGGGCAGCCTAATGCACATTTATTTAGTACCTTATTTAGTAGAAAATTTAGTGCACATTAGGAAAAGCACATTAATGAACTTGTAGATGCAGCCAGTGTGAGTTTTACTTTAGTTCAGGTCCAGGCATCCAGCCTTTCAGAGGTAGTCAGGGATGATTTGTGATAGTCTACAACCCCAT